TACTCCTTAATTCACCTACTTCTGAGGTAGAGGCCCTATCCATCTGGCTAAGTCAATCCCATTTCTTAGGACCTCTAGCATACCTCAGGAGGGAGGGCAATGACAAGTAGGTGAATCCACTTCGTAATGATCTCGTACTCACACACACTATCCTCAACGCGCATTAGGGGCTTCAATAGACACTTACCTTGCAAGGCATCAAGTCACTAGTCTTATCTCATGAATTTCAGGGGGGTGTGACCCTCCCATTTCACTTTTCCCTAACTCCATCCTATCATTCAACAAGATAGGGGACACGGCTAGCATCCCTTTCCTTTCATAATAGTACCCACTATCGATAGGTGCCCCATCGCGTAGCTGGTACTAGTAGTAAACCAGTATCCACTATCGATGGGTACTCCATCGCATAATGGCCAGTGCCACAATATCATAATAAAGCAGTACCCATTATCAATGGGTGTCCCATTGCGTAGTGGCCATGATCACAGGAATGTGGCATGCTTGAGCATTAATTTCACTCATACTAAATCAGTGCCTCATGACAAACAATTCTAATTTTGATCATGTAAAGTTTGAGTCTCGCCCAGAACTATCCAGCAGTCACACAACATTGTGATACTTAGCATAAAACATCCATCATATGAGGGATATCACATGGCATTACGCTTAGTAATTAGTATTAACATTACGGCACTTATCAGGTAACATTTGTCATGGAACTATGACGTTAGTACTGCACTAATCAATTTTCACATAACGCATAACTGTATAGCATCCTTCACATAATACTATGGCATTCAGTATTCTTCACATGAAAATTATTACTTAATACTCACGCTTATCACTTTTCAAAGATAACGCTGTGCCACTTGAGTTGCATAGTAAGTAATCAAGTAAAGGGTAACACAATACGAGCATAGAACTAAAATTTCTATGACATGTAACGGTGATATTTCCCTCTCTTTGGAGGAATAACTCCCAATCTAGAGAAAATTTCAAGATGGTTCAAACATGCAACTTTAAGTTGATTCACAAATCTTTCAAATGGTGGCAGTTTGAAGGTGTTTGGACACCGTTTGATAGGTCAAAAGCTTGGTGCAAAATATGTGACAGTTGCTAGAAATCCCAACAACTATGGACAGTGACATACCCTAATATTTTGGAGTGTATCTCTTACCCCATACGAAATTTTAAATAATATGAAAAGAAAAATTATAGTAGACAAACATATCTTTTATTCAAGACTGATTTGAGCCCTTTTGGATACCGTTTGGTCACTAAGAAGTCCAATGAATATACCCTCACAGTTCTTGAAAATTTCTTTTTGTTCAAGTTTTAGCATGCTTTAAATAAAATTCAACATTTCATAAGTCAAGATAAACTTTGATGTAAAACCTTATTCATGTTGAGCAAATCTTACCAGTGAGTTATTCTATATATTTCCACAACCAACAAGTTCCTTTACAATACTCAATCAATCACTCAACTTCATCTTAATTCAACTACATCCATCCTTTTCATTCTACCATTTTATTTATCATATTTACTCAAATATAATCTTTACTAATTTAAGTGATGCATAGTACTAAATCCACTTACTTGCTTTTCTCGACGTCTTCAAACCTCCCACTTGCAGGCCACTTCAAGCTTCACAATGTGGCTTTCTCAAGGGCAGCAGTTAGCTCCCACTTTGCTGCTGAGAGAGAGAGAGAGAGAGAGAGAGAGAGAAGTGAGGGAAACGATGTTGAAAAGGGAAGGGAGAGGCTTAAAGTACCCAAGGGTAAGTGGGATCCACTGTTGCTGACCTCTGTCGTGCACGGCGCTGACAAGTACGGTGCGACGTTGACACATACGGCAGTAGTACAAGTTTGACCGACACACTCATTGCACTACTCATTCCTTTCCTTCACAAGCAGCAATAGCCACTTACACGCGCGACGTTCCTCATTTTTCACCTTCACGCACGACATTACCTCTTGCACGTGCGGCGATGCGCAAACGGCGCTACTCAAGTTCACGTGTGGCGTTGGTCCTCCACACGCGGCGTTGCCTCTTGCATACGCGGTGATACACAAATGGTGCTACTCAAGTCCACGTGCGGCATTGGTCCTCCACACGTGGCGCTGCCTCTTCCTTCTACTAACTCCATTGTCGTGCGCGTCTCATAACTAGGAAAATTTTGTGGTTCTTACAAGGTATGAAGATCTAGCTAGGAACCTCTCATTCAAAGGGCTGGTGCGCCACTTTATCATGTTCTTCACAGGAATTTTGGTTCTTGACACAGATTTTAGAGAGAGAGAGAGCCCAAAAAGTCTAGTTTGAGAGAGAATGATTTTTGAGAGAGACTATAAACACTAATTTAGAGAGAGATTCATATAGGGAGTGAGCGAAAAAAACACTATTTTTAATGAAGGAGTTGGTCGTGCCGCTAATTTTGCTGGACAGGCAAGGTGGCTGCATTGCTAATTTTGGGCAAATAGAGAGAGAGTTCAGGATGAAAGAGAGAGGGCAGAGAGATAGAGTGAGGGAGGGTAGAGAGAAAGAGAGCTATAGAGAAACAGGCAGAGGAGAGTAGAGGTGGCTATGCCACTAATTTTGGGTAAATAGAAAGGGAGAGATAGAGAGGGTTCGGGATAAGAGAGAGAGGGTAGAGAGAGAAAGAGTGAGGGAGGGTAGAGAGAGATTGAGAGAAACAAGTAGAGAGAAATGGTGAGGGAGGGGAGAGAAAGAAAGAGTGAAGGAGGGTAGAGAGAGAAAGAGAGAGAGAGAGAGAAATAGGCAGAGAATATGTAAATGTCACGTGGCTAAAAGTATAAAGAGAGAAAAAATGGGAAGAGAGAAAAAAATGACAATTTGGTCTCAAAATGCATTGACTATGTAGCTGGGGGGTATATATAAGAAAAAATAGTGTTGGGGTTTAGGATACAATACAAACAGTATTGGGAGTACGATGTGTAGAAAGTTGAAATAAGGGGGGGGGGAGGGGGTATGTATAATTTTTCCTAAATTATAACATATACACATAATACTAAAAACATGGGTTGGATCTGGATCAGATCCACCTATACCAAGATTCGACCCGCATTACTATTCAGATCTAGATTTTAGATCTGGATCCGAATCCGAATTTTCGATCCAACTCTTAGATCCATACTCGGATCCGAATAGGATCCATACCTATATCCTGATAAGATCTATACCCAGATCCAAATTTTCGATCCAACTCTTAGATCCATACCCGGGTCCGAATAGGATCCATACCTATATCCTGATAAGATCTATACCCAGATCCAAATAGGATCCAAATTTCAAGTTTTGGATATGGATCGTATAGATTCTCATCCCTACTCAACAAGAAATAATCTTGCAATAAAAATGTGTTTGCATGTGATTCAAAAGCATGGACCACGTTAGGATATCTCTAGCTTATTGATAATAACAGACGTCCAACCATCGACAATTGAATTAGGTGAAATTAGGCTGCATGGAACCAAGTGTTAGCTTAGAATGCTTTATGATAAGTAATATATAAGAAAACGGAATGTATATAATGAGACCGTTTATTTTTGATATAACGAGATTACACTTACTTATAGCCATCCGATGTGAAATATGATAGCATGGGTTTGTTACAAAATTCGAGAAATTTTTTTTGAAGTTTGAACTTGATCAATGGATTAAATGGAGCCCTCCAATTTCACATTTAATGGTCAAGATTAATTATGACCATCGTGTGCCAAAGGTAAATGGTCTCATTGTACACTTTTTCATAAGAAAAATGATTGTATTAGACCTAAGGTTTTACTACACTTTCAAATTTTGTTAGAAAATGTGCAGTAGAAAACTCACAAATTGATCATATAGACTTTCACAGTTTATATAAAAGAAAAGGATTCTGAAATTTTAAAAATAGTGTATCTTGTAAAGAGATTTTGAAATTTTAAAAATAGTGTATCTTGTAATATATCAACTGAGCTACGTAATTTTAGATAAACTAGATATGCACCTTCATTGTCTGGACAAATAAATAGAATAAATTGGGTGCATGTTTGTATAGAGCCGAGGCTCTAAAACAATCAAAGTAAATTGCACATTCAAATAGTGTCAAGAAATGTGGTTTCAATACTGAAAATTTTCGTCTTAACCTTAAAATATATTTTCATCTTTGATTATAAAATTTAAAGCTTCAAAAATATTGTATAACGAGCAGATCTATGAAAACTAGAAAATCTTGAAAATTGACAGTCCAAAAATATGTTACAAGATGCACTATTTCCAAAACTTGAAATCCTTTTTTTTTTCTCATGTCCATGTATCTTGATGTCGAGATGATCAATTTAACGATATTTGGGCATCAAAACAACCTCTTCTAGTGAAATTTTTGAAGTAAGCTCTAATTTGTTTATTTAGAGCCTCGGATCTTTATAATCTTTTTCCTAATAAATTCGCACGCCACCGTAAGGTGTAAGCCCTAAGGCTAAAAACCGTTATATAATGGCACTAGTTTATAGTTCACAATAAAAATGGCAGTCTATGTCCATAGCCTTAGCGAGAGCCCTTAGTTTTCATATAAATGGGACAAATAGTATGGGTATGCGGTGGGGCTTACCATCGCTACACTCCAACATAAGAGAGGCAAGGGCGGGCCCATCCTTTGATATGCCCGACGTTGCGTTCGTTGGTTGGGAAACCAAGTGGGCAAAGCACAAGGGCCGACCACAAAACAGAGGGGCACGCGCGGTGTCAACAAAGCCTACAGCTTGTGGGTCTCTCCCTCTCTCCATGACAACGGGACGGGTCTGTCTTGGCCCTACCCTGGCCTTTGTCCCCGTAGGGCAACCCATACAAGGGAAGGCCAGGCCTTTGTGCCCATAGGACCGCCCATGCAACAAGGCAAGCCAAGCCAAGAAGGGTCACGCCAACTATAAATGAAGGAAAATTAAGAAAAAAGGAAGGTCAGGCAAGGCTGAATCGAGTCAGCCTGGCCTAGAGCCACATTTTGTAGCCCAAGCCCTTCTCTTTTAGGTTTGGCCGAATAACCTTCGCCTGGCCTAAGAGCCACATTTTGTAGCCCAAGGTCTAAAAGGTTTGGCCGACTAACCTTCGCCTGGCCCTAGATCTTGGAGCCCAAGCCCTACTTTTTTTAGGATTTGGCCGACCAGGCCTCCCATTGCCGGTCCTACTCACCCTCCCTCACTTAAAGTTTGCTTTGTTGCGGTGGGAATTGACTAGTGAGGTGAGCGCATGAAAAGTGATGAGAAAGCAAAAGTCTTTTCCCCGCCCTCTCTCTCCTTCCTCGTTTGGAACGCCTGTACACCTGCTAAAAATCATTACTTTCCCACTTTTCTTCGAAGCACACAAGGGGGATAAATTCGGAAAAATCCAGGTTTTTGTTCCATTTGGGGCTCTCTCGGCATTGAATAACCCCTTTTCACAACCGACATTTCTCGCAATCTTCTGCATCTCTCTTACCCTTCAATTACTCTTTCCATTTCTATAGGTTTTTTGGTGGGTCTTGTATCTTCTTCTTTTGCATTCAGTGACAGTAACGCCTCTCTCTCTCTCTCTCTCTCTCTCTTCTCTCTCTAAGAAGTCAGAGCAAGAATCGATGTTAATGGATGCTAGTTGAGGTAAAAATGGGGTGTCCTGCAATTTGGGTTTTATAATATTCACACAAACAATGAAATCAAGTTTATTAATGTGTGCGTGGGGGGTGGGTTTGAAAAAAAAAAAATGAAATCCCGTTTTGTCCTGCTTTACGAGGGCGAGAAAAAGCAGGGGCTTTTGTACGGTCAGTCTGTTCCTTGTGTACCCTTGCACATTTATTAGCAGCAGTGACGATGTCTCCTCTTTCTTGCCCCTTTTTTTTCCATTAGTAAGCAGTTCAGCCCCTGTGTTTATTTTCCTGGCATTGTCACAAATGTATGGAGAGAGCCAGACATGATGGAGTGAAGCCCATTGCCATTTGAGGATTGCAACCTCTGCAAATGGAATCTCTCTCTCTCACACACTTTTTTTTGGGTGAATTCCCTCTTCTTCATTGTGGGTTTCTTATTCTGATGTGGTGGTGGTGACTTGGCTTTATTTTTTGGAGGAAGCTGGTGCTGAGCTCTCTCTCTCTATCTGTTTCTGTTTTAAGCTCTCTCCTTTTCATGGCGGGTTTCTTCCTCTTCTAAGGTGGTCCTGGTGGTGATTTGTTAATGGGATTTTGAGGAGTTTGGAGGTGCTCTCTCTAAAAATTGTGCTGAGTGGGTGTAGTGGTTCTTCTTTCATGGAAATTGATCTCAACTGCGTCGAGAGTGAGAATGGGTGTTGTCCTTCATCTATTTGTTTGGTGCTGTGGCATGCTTGTGCTGGGCCTCTCACCTCTCTTCCCAAAAAAGGCAATGTAGTTGTTTACTTCCCTCAAGGTCACATTGAGCAGGCTCTCACAGCCAGTCATTTAGATGAACAGCAGGTGCAAATTCCGTCCTTTCACCTTCCCCCTCAGGTTTTCTGCAGAGTTCTTAATGTCAACCTGCATGTAAGCTCTCTCTTCCTTTATGCTTTTGTTTTCCCTTCTCTCTCTGTTAACAGTTCCAGAGATTCTTTGTTTTCTAGATTGCTTTTCTTATTTTTTTTCTTCTGTGCAGGCTGAGCCTGAGACTGATGAGGTCTATGCACAAGTTACTTTGGTTCCTGAACCTGAACCCGAAACTGAAAGTGAGGTGTGGTTATCTATCTACATTTTCTTTCTCATTCATCTCAAAGTGGGTCTTTGGTTTTTCATCTTAGTTTCTCACAGGGAATTTAGTTTATTTGGTGGTGGAAACTCCAGAACCACTGCTTTTGATGCAAAACGCCCTTCTTTCAAATTCATTGGGCATTTGTTTGAGAGAGCTTCACTAATTTTTGTTGAACTCCAGTTCTAAAGCATAGTCTCTCTTTCTTGTTAGATCAGATTTCCCATTACCATTCCTTATATTGAATTTTCTTGTTGTTTCAAATTCTATAGCTGGGTATTGTAGCTCTAATCTCATTGTTCTTGGTAAGCCAAAAGTCTGATCAGGGCTCTGATTCTTATGTATATTTTCATTCAGCCCGCTGAGAAGAGTTTAGTCGAGGAAGAGGAGGGCATCAATCTTCTGCACAAATCCACCCCTCACATGTTTTGTAAGACTCTCACTGCCTCTGATACGAGCACTCATGGAGGGTTCTCTGTTCCCCGTAGAGCTGCTGAGGACTGCTTTCCTCCACTGGTATGGTGCTACTTCCCTGCTCTGATTGGTTACAATTCAGTTATGCAAAGTTAATGTAGAAGAGCTCTTCTTCTGCTGAACTCCTATTCCTGTTTTTTGTAACAGTCATGGAAGCTGCTTTTGCTCTTAGACATTATTTATATTCAGTAATGCTATTCAATCGTTTTGGTTCGTCTCTCTTGAGAGGTCTACTTTTTTGCAGGATTACAGTCAACAAAGGCCTTCTCAAGAACTTGTTGCCAAGGATTTGCATGGGATTGAGTGGAAGTTTCGTCATATTTACAGAGGTTGCAGTCTTTGTATGCATCTTTTAAATCACATAATAGTAATCTAGTATTCTTTGTTTGAACAGAGGTATCTTTATTGATCCTTGTGGCTGAGTTGTTCAATTTATCTGTGGCTGAGTTGTTCAACTTATCGTTCTTTCTTTTGGAAAGCACTCAATGTTTGCTTGTCTGTGAGAGTTCTAGTTCTCTCCAGGTATAATATCCTCCCTAAATCAATTTGACTGAATGCATGTACTTATTGTCGACATCTCAGCCTAATCCTTTTCAGTAACTGAGGAGAAGAGTTCCACATGATTTCTTGCAAAGTTGAAGTTTGAATGATTTAAATTCTTTTTATTCTGTCTGTAAGAAAAAGCCTTTATATTAGTCTATTCCACCACTATTTGAAACATTTTTTACAATACAAAAAAGACAGTCTTGTAGCTTGATGCTTGCTTTGCAGGACAGCCACGCCGGCATCTGCTTACAACTGGATGGAGTCTCTTTGTCAACCAGAGAAACCTGGTCTCAGGGGATGCTGTGCTTTTCTTAAGGTATTCAGAGCTAGTGGTTTGCTTCAGTTGGGTTTTCAACTCTAATGTGAAACTAAGCCAATGTTCTTCAGGGGCGATGATGGGGAGTTGAGATTAGGAATTAGAAGAGCAAGCCACCCTCGAAGCATTATACCTACTCATTCAGTGCTCAGTGGCCAGTGGGGTTCACAACTCAGTGTCCTATCCGCTGCTGCTAATGCTATATCCAGCAAGAGCATGTTTCACATTTTCTACAACCCAAGGTAATGAGGTATTTTGGAAGATTGAACTTCAAAAACTTTGATTACGCACAAATTTCAAATGTTTCTTGTTCCAGGCAATGAATTAGTTGGTCTCTATGGTCCTCTATTCCTTTTATTCCCAAAGCGGCTCTGCAAACACGTCTATGATGATGCATTCCTTCCTTAGTAGCTTTCCTGGTTCACCATACAGAGCCAATTCTTAGTTCCCCCCTCTTTGTTTTTTTCTCCCAGTTCAAGGATAAATCTTATAGAATCTTTTGACCATCTTGCTTTTTTGTATTGCCTATACTGTATTTTTCCTTGGATACAGAAGTGGGATTTGGACCATGGATGTCATCTTGCAAGCTTTTATCTCCTATATAGCAATCCAAGAACCAAATCTTATGAAATTTATAAGTTTTCCACCATAATATGAAACAATACTAATACTAATAATACAATAACACAAAATACTAGTGGCATTTATATCATTGAAGAAAATAGTTTGAAATGTTTTAGTAATTTCCACTGAAAATACTTAAAATCAGCATTGACCACATGGGATTACGAAACTTGTGATGCTGAGCCTTCTATTTATTGAAGTGTGTTATGTGTCTAAAGGATTGATATATAGTGTTTATGTGTCTAAAATATTGGAAAACAGATAATACTTCTTGGCAAAAGGAATCCTGAACACCAACTTTTTGAATGGAGATTTTCTTGATGCCATCGCTACACTATAAATGATGTGAACCATGGAAGATGGAATTTTTAATAGTCCAGATGAGTTGTTATCGCATTTACTAAGAAAATTGTTGCAAACTGGCTAACTCTATGGGCAGCACATGCAATGTCCATTCTAGTGTTTGTCAGTTATACTAGTCAAGGAGCTACTGATAAATCATTGGATATGGGTCCACAGCTTATGTTGACATCCCAAGATTCAGGTTGATCGGCATGTTCATATACTTGCTATTGGTAAGGTATACTAGGCATATAAGCTGTTGAGAATACTGTGTTGTTGGATGCATCCTTCTACCAACAAGTGATTTTTGAAGACCTGGAAAATAGGTACCATGCCTAAGTCCTTCACTGAAACTGAGACTGTAATGTGGTTCAAAATGCTCACTACATCCTTAAGTTTCTGAACATGCCCGCATAAACAAGATTAAGAAATATGCCTGCATGAGCATGATGCTCATCACTCTCGGCAAGAAGCAGAATATGTTAAAATTTTCATGCCAGGCTTGAGTTGCTTCCTTGAGGCCATAAATGACCTAGCTAAGTTTCCAGCAAATGTGCAACCATGGGACTTATACCCTGGTGTCTGCAACATGTAGACTGCCTCGTTTATCTATGCATTAGAGAGCACATTTCTGACATCTATATGTGCTGTGAACCATTGCTGATCTGTGATTACCATTGATAAGATCATTACTATAGCCATTGTCATACAAATAGTCACCTGCACAAGGCTTGTTATTTGTTTGAGGATTTGTGCAACAGTATGGTATTGATTATAGGGAGATGCTTCTATTAGTTTCCAGAAAGCACAGCTGTTATAGCTATTCAATAGTGGTTCCTTTATTGGCTACACATGAAAATTGCCTTTTTCCATGAAGTTCCTTAGTAGGCTGTGTAAAAGAAGTGACCTTATAGTGTCTATTACTCCATTGGATCCTCTTTTGCGATATGTTCACAAGGATTTTTGTGGACTTGAATAAGCACCTCATTTCTGGTCTGGAAATCTGCTTTGGGATGTTCCTTTCCAACTTCTTCCATAATGCTTTTGATTAATGATGTCTATGAGCACCTCTCCTTGTGGCCTAGCCTTCCTCCTTAATGCCAATGGCATGATAATTGCTGGCAATGTGCTATTGGCTGACAATGTTTTGGTAACAAAAATTTGGCCTTAGGGTGGATAGGTTATGGTTTTGAGTTTAAAACTACATTCCCATTTTGATTACTACTACTGAACTACCCTAAAGAATGACAGGGTTGCTATAGTATTTTTTCTTAAGCAACTCCCTAGTTCTTTGAAGAGTGAGGAGAAATGCCACGTTCTTTAATTCTAGTGTGCAGACTGACTGCAAAAGCAGTGTCCTACATGACCAGTTTCATTTTTGAGCGTCAGCAACTTCTGAATGGTTTTTTGTTCATTCCTGCCTACACTTCTATAATGTGATAATGGAAGTGCTCTCCATATAGACAGCAATCTAATTTTCTTAAGTACCCTAGACCCCATGTTAAAAAGTCCTTTTTGATTTTTATATCTCTTTCATTTAAGTTTTTTGGACCTATATGTCCTATTTCCAGTTTGTATTGGCAGTAGTACTGTTTTCATATCTATTCGTTAATATAAAAGAAGATATGAGAGGTGTGTGTGGTCTATTGGACTCTCACGCCACTCTCCCTGTCAGTGTTCGCAAAATCGAACCGGAACAGTTAACTAGACATGGGCTCGGAAGCGGTTTAACTGGCCTAACCGGTAAACCGGCCGATTCAACCGCTCTAACCAAGTAAGTCCCGGACGATCAAAAAAGTGTTGAAAAAAATAAAAAAGATACAAAAAAAAATCTCCTATATATGAAAAGCATATAAAGAATGATTAAAACAAAACACACTCAAATGAAGTTGAAAATTAATGAAGAAAATGTTTTTTAACTATTCGATTTGTGCCTAGGGGTTTTTTAAATTTTCTGAAAAAGATGGGAAAATATAAAAGTGATTATTAATGACCAAAACAATTTTTAATCTTTACCATAATGTTAAGAATATTAAAACAATGTTAAAAAAATCGACTTGACTAACTCTTTTTTTTTTAAAGAAAATGAAGAAAAATTAAGTTATATATATTATAGGCCCTCCTTTTTATCAACCAAGTCGTAAATTGTGTAGTGGTTAGTGCGCCTAATATTAAAGGACCTCTTCCTAAAAGGCTTCTTGTTCGATTTCGGCGGGTAGATATTTGTTTTGAACTCAGGCCAGGCGATGGGTTTTGAACCATGATTGAGGTAAAACTTAATCGTCTTTTTTGAACTCAGTCCAAAATAAAGTCTTAAAAAAAAAACCGCTGCTGGCAGCGGGATTCGAACCATGATTGAGGTAAAACTTAATCATCACATTTTTTTAACTCTTTTGATGTCTTAAAAAACTCAGTCCAAAATGTAGTCTTAAAAAAAAAACGCTGCTGTTGGCGGTGGGATTGGAAACCATGATTGAGGTAAAACTTAATCGTTAAAGCCAAACCAGTAAACCATTTTTTTTTAACCCTTTTGAAGTCTTAAAAAAAAAACCCTGCTGGCAACGGGATTCAAACCATGATTGAGGTAAAACTTAATCGTCAAAGCTATAACCAGTAAACCATTCTAATATATCTGATCTAAATTTGAAGTAATATTCGATTTAAAATTTAAAATACTGGTTGATCACCAAAACTGCACAAAATCGGAACTGGCCGGTTTCGATCTAACCGGGCGATTAGCGGTTAGATTGGCCGGTTTTGCGAACACTGCTCTCTCTCTCTCTCTCTCTCTCTCTCTCTCTCTCTTTCTCTTGTCTTTGACATGCTCTCAATGCATTGATCCTTTGTTCTTCCATAGTTGTTGGAAAAATCTATGATCCCAAATCGTTTTAGGAGTCGAACTCGTGGAATCGCCGCTCACTAGAGATTCCTTTTTTTGGAATCGACGCCTGTACAAGGGGAATTGCAGGAAACGAGATTCCTACTTTATAGGAATCAAGATTTGACCCAAATGAAATCGAGACCCTTACATAAATGGAATTGAGATTCCATCTTCTTTGGAATCCAATTTCTGACCTATTTGGAATCGACCCCTATGAAATTGAGATTCCTTCATATATGGAATCGAGATTATGAGATCTTTGAAATCGAGTTCCTGATTTGATGCTTCTCATAGGTTCTGAATTGTTTATTTTGTTGTTCATGGCCCTATGTTTGTTTTTCTAATTTGATGGAAAGAGTATCATTATAGGTGGAATCCAGATTCAACAAATGTAAAATCGAGATTCAACAATTGTGGAATCGAGAATCGATAAATATTTGAAACGGATTCTGTGTAAGTGTTGGAATTGAGATCTCTAAAATAAAGAATCGAGACTCTTGACTTCACAAAGATGGACTCCATTTAGATTCCTTGTCGGGTTTTTTCACAATAAAATGCCCTTACAAATATAAAATTTTATTAACAATAGTTTGTTTGAAAATTTCATGAAGGGCATATATGTAATTTTAAATTGGTTTAAAGGTCCATTCAGTATTCATAAAGTCAAAGAAATCTTTTTCAATTTGGAATTGAGTTTTTGGAGGGATCTTAAAAAGCCAAAAATACCATTTCCTAAAATACACTAACTATTTATATTCAAAAGTCATTTTTGAATACATAAGGGACTTTCGTGGCCAAATATTTTAGAGTAGTAAATTCGAAGTTCACCATCAGTGTGGTGTATTCTAAAATATATGTAGTATTAACCATAATGTGATGTCCCTAGTGAGATATTTACTATCATGAACTAAATGCAATTGTCACATGCGGTTCTAGAACCTTTTGGTAAGCTTGTACTATCTTATTTCAAAATCATCTCATTTTTAAAATATTTGAATGACCCTGCTCATAATGTCACCACATGATATCAAGAAAACAGCTATAATTTTGACCTATGAGATATAACATAGAACCTATCTGAACTCAAGGAAATTCGCAGACATTTTTTTATTCAAAATCAAGAATACTTCTCTATATTTTTTCTGCAGGACTAGAACTAGTTCCAGGTGCCAATTTTAAAAAGTTTTGTTTACAATGCTAGCACTTCTAAAGTTTTGTAATCATTGGATGATTGGGGAGGTGCTAAGAAAGTGTAGAAAGTTTAAGTTCTAGGTCTGTAGCACTTAAAAAGTATGGAACCCCTAGATTTCATGCCATTGAAATTTCAGATGTGGAAAGGCAACATTCAACAGTTCAATGTTTTTTTTTTTTTTTTTTCTGGATTTTGTCTCCTGAAACATTAAATTGCACTTAAATTCTACGATATTTTATTTGGTCAAGATACCATACGGTACTGTTTCCTATTAAGTGTCGGATATTTTTCCAATGCTATTTCCATTTTTGGCTCGTTTCATTTAGACAGGACATATATAAGTTAACGAGTTAGAAAAATTTCCCAATCTTGTTTTCTTCCATCGTTTTCCTTTTTCGCTCTTTATGCCTTTCATTAGGTTAATTGACATACCATGAGCTTTTTGATAATGAATTATTTCAATCTCTGTAACGCAATTCCATGCGTTGCTCATGCACTTCTGGTTTGTTTTCCTTTTGTTGTTTTGTGAAAATTTCTTTTCATATTAATGATTTGCAAACATCTGTATGAATTCAATTATTCAACAGACACCTTCTTTAAGCACTAATCATTTTTCTCCACTCTTGGCACATCTATATTTCTAGATAACTGAAGTTTTCTATGATTCAGTTGGCCTGGTTTCTCAGTTGATTTTACTCTCTTACCTTTTAGCGTTGCCTGATCACTAATCAGTGTAATTTCTTGCCATTGGCTTATGCATGAAGCCTTCATTATTTCTTTTATTTCCTTAACAATTAGATGAAAGCAAATCACTGTTTCTTTCTGTCTATTAAACCTATGGTGTGTGATTCTTGGGAGTGCTTTGATTTTTTTTTCTTGTCATTCTTGGAGCTTTGCGAATTACCCAGTTCATTATTTATTTTATTTTATTTTATTTGGTCTTGTATGCCATTTTGAACTTTGCATAGGCTTTGTTATCTTGGTATGAAATATGATTTTGATCCAAGACATTTAATGTTTGGACACTTATAACGTACTCTCACGGAAGCACGCCCACACTTCATCCCCCAGGCAAACGAGCTACTTAGGAGGATTTCTTTAGGTTTGAAAATTTTGGATCTTCTCTATATGTTCAAAAATAAAAGTTCCGATTTTGACTTCCGAAACACTTAAGATCTGTCTGTCAAAAACTTGGAACGGTCCCTATTCAATATCAGTGTAATATTTCTTTTAAGGTTACATCAAGTGCATGTTTTTTTTTCCACCAGACTGGTTACTTGGTTGAGATTACATCCCCAAATAAAAATGATCATAGGTAGCGTTTCACTAGAGGGACTGAATGGCTGTTATGCTCCCTTAGGAGCATATTCTCTTTTGGCTTAATTTTTCCAAGATAGGCACTTATCTGAATATGCTGAAATGTAGGGCAAGTCCATCAGAGTTTGTGATACCCTATCGGAAGTATGTTAGATGCATCAACCGTCCAGTGTGTGTGGGGATGAGGTTCAAGATGAGGTTTGAAATGGAAGATGCAGCTGAGAGAAGGTGTTTTAAAAGTTTTTCATTCAATAGCTGTGGGTTTTTATTTATTTACTAAATGAATTTTACAGTGGTTCAAATAATTTTTACAGGTGTAGCGGTGTCATCACTGGAATAGGTGATATTGATCCTCTTAGATGGCCTGATTCAAAATGGAGATGTTTGATGGTACTTTGTTAACTATTATTATCCAACATAGTTTTGGTGTATAATCTTCGTGGCTTGGTGTTTGTATGTTACTTGCATTTCTGTTTATTCTTATATTTTTGCAGTGATTGACTCAGAAGCAATCTTAGAAAGGAAAATGACCATTTTCTGTACTTTCATGTCCTAACATGGTTTGAAAATAGCAAGCAATATTATGACAAGAAATCCTTGGGTTATCTATTCTGGCTGTTTCTTTGCCTTGACTATGAATATTATCTAGTGTCAGTTTTGACTTTTAAGTACTTTGGGAGTTTGAGTAGACCCATATGTTAACATCAAATTTCTTCATATTTCTTCACTTGCAATAGACTCATGATATTTCTCATTTTGTAATCTTGTACATTTCTTGTTTGGAAAAGCTTATGATTATTACATTATTGTGGCAATAAGAGAGTATGCGAAACTTTTAAAATTTACTCTAATTGTTAAGTAATAGACAATACTATTCATGATACATTTACAGTTGGTGCTTTAACCAATATCTTCTTATGTAGTCATCTCTCCCTAGATTGTCAACTTAGTGGGTAACTTAGACTTAGCATGGCAGTTCATCATTCTTTGTGGTGTCCATGGTGTTGGACTGGTTTTCCAACATGTTCTACTGATCACTGGCAAGTCGTTAACTTCGGTTGAAAGGCATAATGGAGCCATGAGAATAGTATGATATGTGAACAATTGTACTCTTCATTCAACACCAAAACAGGTCAGGCTCTTATAAGCCATCCTCTGCTGAATTGTGGAACTGCTTTAGCCCCCCATAACTGGGCTTGTGTTCCCAGGATTCAATGTGATCACCACTGATAGTTGAATTGGAGGACTGAGTTCCAAGTACCTCCTGGCTTTGGTAGTACATGATAGGATCAATCCTATTTGGTTGGGAGGTTTTCTTATTTTAATAGGAAGATAAATGATATCTACAAAAGCAGAACTAAATTGCATGAAAATGTTCATAACTTAATGGCAAGATTTTTTAGGAGAAGGAAAACTGATGTCTACCATGGCTGTTATTTCGATATTTATGGTACATTGGCCTAGGCTCCAGCTGGGTTTAAGCTTATACCTCACAAGCCGATCATGGGCTCAAGCAGTTAGGATTGTTAAGGGCCCAGGTCATGTTCAAAAGCTGTAAAAGGTCCAAGCCAGGTTCAACCCAATGCTCGTACAGAGGCAAGGCCTAGCAGACCTTGGACCTCCTTGACCCAGCACACTTTCGGCCCAAAATAAGGGGAATACCTGGTAGCCAAGGTTTTAAGTGCATGTTTTTTAAAATGACTAGCTATGGCTCTGCTAAAGGTAACCTAGTTCTGTACCTTGCAGCACTCAATGGGTGTTTGCTGATGGCTTTCAGTGAAGGTTTTGGGAGACCCTAAAAAAACAACAGTAAAAAAAGGTGTTGAGGCCTGATGACTAGGTTATGGAGGAATGGCTCACCTTTGTATATTTTATTTTATCACCCTATTGTTATTCTCTAATTTGTTGTTCTGTATGTGGTACCCATATTGCAAATTACTGGAAAAGAACTAGTTTGTATTTTTGAAGCACGATACGTAGTTGAACTTCAAAAGATCTCCTGAAGTAAATGTTTGAAGTAAATGTTTGTTGTTCTTTGCCAACTGGCATCCCCTTAGGGTTAGTGAATCTTATGCATTTGTTTCAAGGGAAGTCTCGTTGATCAATGCATTTTTTACTCATTTATCTTTCAAGGAGCTGCAATACGTTCTTCACTGCATGTGTGTGTGTTTGTGTGTGTGTGTGTGCATGTGCGTGTGTGCGTGTGCGTCCGCTTGTAATTGTTGCACCCGCATTTCTTACTCTCACACATGTGCACCTATAACAACTTGTATGAATGTTTCTGGTCTGCCAAACAATTATGGAAGCTTGTATATCTTTTTTGAGTTTAATGATTATTGCTTTTTTAAAAGTTAGGTCCTCAACCAGTGAACCTAACCCATTTTCTCGTTGCCGTGTTTGACAGGTGAGGTGGGATGAAGATATTGGGGATGAGCATCGAGTAAGAGTCTCCCCCTGGGAGATTGAGCCATCAGTGTTGCCTCCTGCTTTGAATGTTCCCCGTCTCAAGAAACTTAGGCCAAGTTTACCCTCAGGAGCTGCAGATGTTGTGGCTGTTTCCAGTGGGTATCTTTCCCAAGCTGTGGAAATAAATAGGACACACCACTTGAAAGCTGTCTTTGCAAATTAATTATCCTATTTCGTGCACTTATCAAAGCAAAAAAAATTACTTTTTTGTATGCCACTGCATTTTTTATTTATTATGAACTCAGTTGTCTTCGCTGGATTATATGGCAGCTGGTGGTGGGCTTCTGGAGGTCAGGGAATCTGTAAGATCTCGTAAGGTCTTGCAAGGTCAAGAAGACGCAGGTTCTAAAACATATTATTATGCGAATCTTAGAATGGGACCTGGAAGTCATGATCCCACTGTCCTTGGATCAGCCAGGATGGGGACTAATGCACTTACAGGGAGGGCTAGTGATAATATAAGCATAGGCTTTGGAGAATTCCACAAGGTCTTGCAAGGTCAAGAAATATTTCCCTTGAAAGCACAGTGCGATGTGCCTGTGTCTGGGAACAGATCTAGGGAAAATAATGGTCTCCGCTTGGAGTTTTTTACTGGATACCAGAGACCAGAAACTGTCAGGACAGAGGTCATTGATAATTCCACTCATTATCAATCTAATCTGAGGTTTTATGGAGCTTCGAATGCTTATTTTCGCAGCAACCAGTTACCATATGATGTCCACAATCTACCAATTATTAATGGCTTATATGAAAGGCAAAACTCTTGGAAGCCAGAGCTTGTTGGCTCATCTCAACAAACAATGCAAGTTACGGAAGGCAGTCACTCCTCACAAGAAGATGAGGTGCTAAACCATCTCTTGCCTTCTGCTTCTGTCAGGAAGATGAATTACCAAGATGAGACTCTTGCCAGAACCAATTGCAAACTATTTGGGTATTCCTTGACTGAGGATAACTTCTTATCAAACGCTAGCAAGAGGAGTTGCACTAAGGTAAATCGCCTATACCCATTCCATTGGTCCTCTCTCTCTCTCTCTCTCGTTCTCTCACATCACTGTTATTAGATAGGTTCATAAACATGGAAGTGCAGTGGGAAGATCCATAGACCTCTCGAAATTGAATGGCTACAGTGATCTGATGAGTGAACTGGAGCAGATATTTAATATGGAAGGACTTTTACACGATCCTGAGAAAGGGTGGCGGGTTGTCTACACAGACAATGAGAACGATATGGTGCTTGTGGGGGATGACCCATGGCAGTAAGTGTATCAATTTATGTATTTAGCATGTAAAATATTGCATATCCCTAAACCAGTCCAAACTGCCATTTCCTTGCAGCAATTTTCATATAGTAGCCAGTGACCATCAGGGGAGGTCCAGATGTTCCCAGTATTCATTAAATTCTCTAGTGTGGACCATCCATCCCTCCAATACAAAACGGAACCTGAAAATGGATCCAATTAGTTACTGGAAAGAATAATAGGCTGAATATCAACATTAGGACTAATGGAGGAAAAAAAAAAACAGATTTGTTCTGTTTGATTGATTGCATATGTCCATCTACATATAAATGTTTCAGTCTGTATAAAAATTGTGATTTTATAAATGAATGTGCAGGGAATTCTGTGACGTGGTGTGCAAGATACTAATTTGCACGCAAGATGATGTGGAGAATATGAGTCCAAGCATGTTGGTGAATGATGATGCTCAGAGCTGTTGGGAAGAAGCACCAGTGGTAATTGAGTTATCAAAGTCATGCTCATCGTTAGGCCCACCACAGGACTCCTCTCCCACCATAACAAGAGGACTCGAATAGCTCTCCACTCTAGATTTTGATTCGATTATGATTATCTTATTTAAACTCTATCACACATTTGGGCTTTTGTATTTTTGTTGTTCGGATCCCATGGCTCGGTCTGCTTGAGCACGAACTCAAGTTTCCCCCCATTGAGGTTCTTCACACGGTTTCGGGTTTCAGGCCACTGGAAGGATGTCTAGGCGCCTGACCCATGTCCATTCCTCCAAGTTTTAAGTTGAATGATCGATACTTTGGGTGGATGATGGGACCCTAGTGTTGTATAATGTTATTAATGTATTTGGTGCTTGTCTCTAGTTTTTTCCCGATATTTTAACTACTTGTTGAAATCAAGTTTAGTTGGATGTAAGGAGAAATGGGTCATGCCCATTTTTTATGGATAAATCGATGGGGAATACAGGCCCTATCTGTTTTTAGAAATAGTTAATTGTTTTCGAATGCAACAGTTAGAACGGAAACCTAAACTGGTACTTGAGGCTCAAGTGGTACTACCACCTCGACCTCAATCCCATTCTTGAATCATGCCTAGTTGAAGTATAGTGGAAAATAGTATATTCCTCATGAACAGAATCAATTGCAAGCCATTGAACCGATGTGGAAACGTCATGGGGTGGTATCCACCATTGGAGGCCATATCATGTTAAGGGTGGTTCCACCCTCTCTAGCAAGCATCCTCCAAACCTATTCAATTATTAGTTTGATTGGTTTCCATCATTTGATCATTCTAATCCGTCCTTGATCTCAATCGCTACTGCATGCAATATGACATACAATGCGGTTTTAACAAAGATTGGTTAATATCCCTTTCACGAGTGCACGAAAAGATTGGAAATAAAAATAAAAAAGGATGCAAAATGCCAATAGTTCAATTATATATATATATATATATATATTATGAGACCCTCCTACACCCATGTGAGTAGGATCTTAAAGGATCACCATTAAATTTTGACACAGATCTCTA